AAAATGTGTCAATAAACAGCAAAACCAACATGGAAATAGCATGATCTCGTGTTTCTACTACAAGCTATTGTAGGCGTCCGGCAGATGAGTAGTCCGATAAGTACCAAAGCTTGTGCTGATACAACACAGTGCATAAAAAGCGCCAATTTTTTTAAACCCGCGACTTTTTCCGTTCTGCGGTGATTACATCGGCTCGTTTTTGAACACGGGGTCACAGATCACTTGCGATCACCAAGCATTTCTTCAGTCTTACGCAAACAGCTAAAATCACAAAAACTTTTAGTATCTAGGATGGTGCATTCTGAGTTTATTAGTTTGTAAAGCTGCCTTAAGATTGGATTCAAAACCGCATATTTAAATACGGTCTTTTTTGAGGCTTAAACTAAAATTCCTGATGTCAAAACGGTTAACGAATAAATTTCGCAAAATTTGCAGTGTGAAGCTTCTGTTTCGTCTTCCACTCGCGCATGAGATTATTGATCAATTAAAATGAAGTTCGAAATTGAAATTCAGATTATCCAACCTCAATGATTCAAAAATAATCTGTTTCCAGTTTTTTCTTTTGGCAACGAAGTCACGAAAAAAGGAATTTCCCTAGTTTGGGCCTTTATTAAGCTTGATCAGCGGACTACGACGTAGTGAAAACAGTACAGCTAAACACAAAAAACACAACTGTACGTTATACAACATGACATAGTGAATATGAGATGAACAAAAATAAAGCAGTGATCTCAGAACTTTGAAAACGTCGTCAATATCCTCAAAAGTGTCGAATGACCATCTCTTCAATGCAACTGTGCTGAAGGCAGTAACTTGCGGATGCCGAATTTGAACAGTGATCAAAGCAGAAGACAGGGAGAACAATGATGCTAAAAATGCCTCAAGTATCTTTTCATATTCTTTAGACAATATTCTTAGACACACTTTTTAGGCAATGCATCCCCGACGCACGGCGAATAGGTTTCAGAGCGATCGCGCGAGAAACCCAGTTGGCATGGCTGAATTGCTCATTAATCTTGCTAACAGTCAATAATTCTCGAATTTTAGTGAGTAATGACTACGAAAGAGTAAAAAGCAATTTGGAAGGCTTCCGAAAAAGTTACGCCTACCAAGTGTTGAATGCTGTCTAGAGGTTTGCAGTTGAGGAACAGACGGTTTGTTCTTGTTGAGTTCGGCGAGTGAGAGCATTCCACTGCATTATTAACATGGGATCCACAAACCGAGTGTTCAGGCTGTCCTGTTAATTCCGGATTTTAAACGCAGTAAAAAATGTTTCCTGCTTGCTAATCCATTCACGACTGTTCGATATAGCGCTCTCCCACGAATCCAGCAATGATGAGGGGAACTTACGGAATCGGATCGCCAATTTCGTTGAGCATCTCACTACGACACTGTCGATTTGGACATGTTTTTACATCCATTAAATGGATTCTCTTTGGATGCTGTTTGCAGACTCGTGCCGCGTGTCCCGGAATAATCATACCACATTGCTGGCATTGTACAGCTGTG